GGATATGATCTTGGAGAATAATAATAAATATTTAAAATGAGATAGCGGCCTTAGTGGTTTACAAATTAAAACAGGGTATAATATGTTGGAAAATGAATAGGAGATCATTATAAAGCATATTCTCTCTTATTTTGATCAGGAGTTTTGCTACAGGGACCCAAAATATGGGACCAATAGAGGGGACAAGTGAGGTGTTCCCCTCCTATTGGATAATGAGTTGGCTATCATTAATGATGACCAACTCATTATCCAATAGGAGGGGGACACCTCACTTGTCCCCTCTATTGATCCCATATTTTGGGTCCCTGTAGCAAAACTCGATCAGATGGATACTTCTCTTGTTCTCATATTTCTTTTAAGATTCTCCAGCGTGCCAGATAAGTATAAGATTTGGGCATGCTGTTGAGAACCTCTATTATGTCCATTTGTTTTTTTTTTCAATCAATGATTTGATATTAACTATCAGATCTAAGAAGCTTGCAATTCACGTTAAGTCCAATGATTGAGATCATTGATTGGCAATAGTCGACCAAGAGGAAACAGCAGTAGTTTCTCCTTCACATTTCCCTCTCTCATATTCGGATCCTTATCATTGTGAATTAGATAACCACCAATAGATTAAACCAAATAGATTAAAACAAGAATCTTAGAATTATTATTATTATTATTATTATTTGGGGTTGTTTCTGTTGGCGCATGTGGTTAAATCTAGAATAATACAGATATAAAGCAGCAAAAACTAAAAAGAAAGATGAAGTGCAGTAATTTAAAATTTTCAACTCAGCTGCTATGCGTTTGTAAAACGCTATGCTTAAAGCAATATTTGACCTACTCCGGTGCAAGGATCCCAAGACCAAATTGCTTTCTGGAACAGCAATACAGTACTATGGTATGCACCGACCTAGTACTGTCAAGATCTCCCCGATCTATAGGACCTCTCTGTCAAGACATCGATCTCCTCGATCTATAGGACATTCTCGGTGAAGGCAACGATCTCCTCGATCTATAAGACATTCTCGGTCCAGGCAATGTTCCTACGAACACTAGTTATTTTACAACATATATATATCTGTATATATTGATTGTAGTTTTTGGAATGAATTTTTCTTAAGAGTTTGGGGTCTATTTTATAGTGTTTAGGAAAACACTATGTATTAATAAAATATTATTAATTACTATTCACGAAGGGCTGACGTTACTTGGGTTTTCAAAAGAATTTAGACAGAGATGTCATCCTGCATTTTATTTTAATGAGTTCGGTGCCGAAAGCTTCTAAAAAATTTCACGTTCTCTTAAATTGTGTAGGACCCACCTTACTTTTTCTAAATTTTCCTTCTTTGCGGCTAACTTCCAAAAGCCGTATTAAAAAATTAATTTAATATCCAACAGTTTCTATGAAAGAAGCAAAATCCATGATTGCAAAACCTTAATGACACGGCGCTGTTTGGTTTCTTTTTTTTTTGGTGGTAAAAGTGAAGAAAACTGTCAAAAATATCAGTTTTTTAGTAGCTTTCTCCTAAAACCACCCCTTAAAAAGGTGATTTTGGGGAAAAGCTGTCAAAAAACTAATATTTTTATCAGCTTTCTTCTCTTTTACCACAAAAAAAACCTATCCAAACAGCCCCAAACCCGCCAAGAAATTTATAAAGATTTTGACTTTTCTAGGCTTATTACAGACATTAGGTCGTGAGAAGAGAATAACGCAAGAACAGAAAATTATAATCCCTTCATTTGTATCAGTTCCTAGTTAATAGTTGAAGAAGAAACTGAGTGGAGGCAGATGCAGACTTGAACAGACCTCCCCGGATCGAAGGCTTAAGCGGCGGCGAATAGGATGTTATTAGGGGAAGATGAAGAACAAGAAAAGCTGGCTTTGAATTTTAAAACTGCCGAAACTGCCCTGGGACACTGTTTTCATGTATCCAGGCTCGAAAATTAAAATGCGTGATGAAGTAGGAAATTCATTTTCCACATCAGTTGTTCCATTAGCTGTGTCCCTTATGTTGGGGTCCAAAAAACATTCCTCTAAAAATACCTATAATTCTTTTAGGGGGTGTTTGGTTGCATGTTTTTTGAGAAATGTTTTCTCAAAAGTGCCGACGCATGATATTTCTGTAATTAAATATTTTCTATAGATTTCTATAAAATAAGTTTGGTTCAAAAAAATTTTATAGAAATGTTTTCTGTAAAGTACAGAAAAATACCAAATTTTATAGAAATCGATTTCCTTCTAAAATGAGTAAATGCAAATCGATGATAACTAATTAAAGTGGTATAAGAAAGAGAAAATAAAGATACAAAATTTATAACAACAAAAAAGAATTCAACTCGTTACTTAAAGTAAAAAGTACAACATGTTTCTAGTTTAAGCAACAAATAAACCAATGATTATATCGAAATAACATTGAATTAGAGTTGATCTGCATTTATCCCTCCATTAAAATGACGTGCTTTTAAAAATATTTAGTATTAATTTTCTTCAAGATATGTTGTTACAATATCTATTTTGGTCATGTGCATTGTGCGCTAGCAATTTAGCTAGTTCTAACAATACTAATTAGTTCAGAGTAAAAATACTTATCTTATACGTTAATTAGTTCATGAATAAGCTATATGTTTAATGCCTTCGCATTTTGGATTTGCCTGTGAACGGGTTGCTTTTAGCCAGTTTACCACGACAAATAGAAATCGTACAAAACTAGTACAAGAAAATACGAGCGATTGGCATAAATCTGGCAGCATAGAAATGCCATAATCAGGCGGAAGAAAAGCGTCAGACCATCATTAGTCTTTATCAAGTTCAATTGTTTAACCGAAGCTTGTTGATGGGCCCCACAAAGCTGTGGGACCCATCCCCCTATTCCCTCTTCGAGTTGGGTGCGAGTTGCCCAACCAGCGAGCCAAAAAGTTTTTTCACATTTATCTTGGTTTATGTTTCAACGAAAATACTTTTGATTGTACAATTGTACCTTTGAATTCAAGAAACTTCATCCTTTTGTCTTTAGACCCAAATAGTAGAATTCATAGTTAAAACTTATTATTTTTGTACTTTTAGGAGGTAAAACCCCCAAGTACTGAAGTACCCCCCACATCTCCTGAAAATTCTCTCTCTTTAACATACGAAATTGAAATCAATTTTATCAAATTAAAATAAATTTTTTTACTTTTAGTATTATCTATTCTTATTGATTATAAAAAATAATCTGTGGAATTATGAATAATCATGTGAAAAATTATGAGGAAGAAAATGACAAGTTAATACTATACTCGTGACAAGTTAATACTATACTCGTCCTGGAAGCTTATATGAGTTTATGCTACAAATTAGGAGTTGAGGAATTGGGAGAATTTATACATTAAGATACTAAAAAAGAGATAAATCCTCCAAAAAAATTTAGTATTGAAACCTTAGGAATTGAGAGAGTTGAGGCGTATTTAATGAGTTTATGAGAGTTGAAGAAGAAAATAAGAAGCTAAAGGAATTAAGCGAGAGAGAATTAAATGAGAAAAAGAGAAGGGTAGAATTAGATTTTTTTGAAAAAGTTTAGGGGGACCATTTAAGTATGAAGTGTATTTGAGAATTTAGGTTTAAAGATAAATACACAAAGTTGATTGGGTCTAAAGATACAAAGAAAAATAAGTGAGTTTAAACATAAATCATGACAAACCTTTATGTCTGAAGACAAAAATCCTTAATAATATCCTTAAAATTATTATTGAGTTCATCCATTCATTTACTTATTAAATAATTGCAGGATATATTTTCTACGTTGAAGTATATAACTAAATTACATAAAGTAAATCATCATATATTGATGGACATTTCCAATACATAATTGCTTGGATTGCAATCTAAAATTACTTGTACGTGCCAGTATGGATGATAAGTAAACACTTTTATTTATTGTCCATTATACCAATTGTTGAATGAGTAAAAAGATGAAAATAAATATCATTCCTACCCATCTCATGTACTCAACTATAAGACTTTGAAATTGAATGCTGATTTGTCCTATAAATAAAGACAGGTAAACATCTTAGATTACAAGTCACAAGAATTGACAAACAGAAGCATACCGCTTGTTAAAGTTTTATGGAGTCACAACACAGTTGAAGAAGCAATTTAGGAAAAAAGAAGATGAAATGTGACAAAGTATGCATTTCAGCTTTAAAGTCCAGGTAAATTTTCAGGAACAAAAATTTTACAAGACCTATGTTATCATTATTAGTATTATTATTATTTCGGTAATAATTTTGTATTACATATAAATGCAAGACAATATCAAACTTAACCAATTATCTTGAGTGAGATAGTTATTGCATACATATTTTGTCAAATAATTTTGGGGTGACCAAAATTCACGATGCCGTAAATCAAAACTATTTTCTGAATATAGATATTTTAAACGATACACACAAATGTCAATGAAACGAATTAAAAAAAAATGAAAATTGCAACACCGATTCATCAACATAAGATATTTCTTGTTATTTCTTAAAAATTAAAATATAAATCAAAATGATAGCGCATAAGTCATTCTCTGTTGAAGAAAATACACCCGAAATCCTCTAGAATTTGTCCAAGAAAAGTAGCTGCTTAATGCTTATCAAAGGGAAACAAGTAAATCCATCATTTAATTCAGCACTAAATAAAAATGATTGTTCCAGAGACTTTCAGAAAAAAATCACAATCCCGTAGAATCGGCAAATTTCTCACACGCGCAAAGGACGGCACGCCACGTGCTTCCGTAGCCGCCACCGTCAACAACAGCTCGACTTCCTTCTTTCGGTGGCTAAAGACATTAATGATTAGTATTAACAACACATATGAGTTAATTTCTAATAATTTACTAATTCTCCAGGATTATTACTTGCACGAGGGCATTTGTAAGGTTAATGCCACGTGTCGGTAAAACGTGTGGAAGTTACTCGAGGTTTACCGGCTGGGAGAGTATATAAACCCTTGGGATCCAGCTGTGCAGTCCCATTCTCGTGAGCGGGCGGACCAAACAGTATCATCTAGTTTGTGTGCTCTAGTGCGTCTTATTACGGGAGAGCCATTCCCTTTTTGGGAATTGCACTTCTGAGTACTTTCCTTCCTTTTTTTGGTTTGCATTCCTATTTCATTTTACACTCGAATTATCTTGGTCGGAGTTTGAAGAGAAATTAAGAGGTAAGAAAATTTCATAGATATCTAACGAATATTCCAGTGAAAAAAAGATTGAATCTGATGGAAAATTGACGACATTCGTATGCAAATTATTTTTGCTGGAAGACCTGCAGGAAAAAATGACGGTGACTCCGAGGATCACGATAAGCGACGGAAATCTGGTGGTACACGGGAAAACCGTCCTCACGAACGTCCCGGACAACATCGGTCTCACTCCCGGATCAGGTGCGGGCCTCGTCGCGGGGGCCTTCATTGGTGCGACCGCAACGGACACCAAGAGCCTCCACGTGTTCCCAGTTGGAAAGCTAGAGTGAGTTATCTTGCACCCTGCCCCAACTTACCTTATCGTGCTCCACCACCCTCTAATTTGAATTGTTTTTTTTTTTTTTTTTTTTAGGGGGTTGAGGTTTATGTGCTGCTTCCGGTTTAAGCTATGGTGGATGACGCAGAGGATGGGGAGCAGCGGTCGGGATGTGCCGCTGGAGACTCAGTTTATGCTCGTTGAGTGCAAGGGCGAGGCGGCGGATGAGGAGGAGACGGTTTATGCGGTATTCTTGCCGTTGCTGGAGGGGCAATTTAGGGCGGTGTTACAAGGGAATGAGAGGGATGAGGTTGAGATTTGCCTTGAAAGCGGTGAGTTCTCATAAAATTCCGGAGAAATTAGAAGTTCAAGAGATGGATTCTTATTTGGGTTATTTGCACTTCGCTACCTAAGGGTTATATCTTTTAAAACTTTGACACCCCAGTTCCCATATATGACTTTGATAGCCAAAGTGTTTTTTCCGGCATTTTGATACCCAAGAGTTTACACATCTCTTAATTTGGTCACCCGAAGTTTACACATTTTAAACTTTGGGGTATCGAAGTTCTTAAAAGTGTCAAGTTTGGGGTACCGAAGTTTTAGAAATATACTCTGAGGTATCAAGATGAAAACAAAAGTGTAAACCTTGTGGCTTCAAAGTGCTAGAAAAAACTTTGAAAATATTGTAAAACTTTGGGGTACCAAAGTATAAATAACCCTTTTTGATTAGTCATGCTCATTTTGATAATATAAAACTTAATTGTCTATTTAAAATACTATGAAAAATTATCCCTCATATATGTGGTATAAAGTTAGTGTGACATTAGTAGTTGCGTTAGCATTACATTTCCCCCCCTAATATACGAAAGTTCCTATTGAGATTGTCTAATATTGTTTGATTAGATTACAATCTGAACAATAAGTGAATTCGTGTTTGTATTGTGTTAAATTTTAATAGAGTCAATTGCCCACAAATAAAACTTCTGTACTTTTGATGGTTATTCTCTTTTGGGACGTATTTAGTACTATTCTTTGAAATTCCATTCCATTTTATGAAAATTCTGAATAGTAATTTCAAAATGAAAAGCATAATTTTATAACTTTTATTGTTTATACTTTTAACATGTTTTGATATCATGTTAAATCCTTTTGCATAGGCAATTTCTTTAAAGAGTTGAATATTATGATTTTATGTAGTTATAAGGTCCCTACATCAGAACTTGAAATTTCATTTCTGCAATTGATATTACTAATTTATTAGTTTAACAAAAGTTGTCTAATAGATGATGTATGGCTAGTAAATTTAAATTGGATGTATGCCTCCATATTTCTAACTATATTTGCGGCTATTAAACTGTGCTTCTTGATGTTGCAGGTGATGAATCGGTGGAGACTAAGCAGGGGAATTATTTGGTGTATATGCACGCGGGGACCAATCCATTTGAAGTCATCAACCAAGCAGTCAAGTAAGTCCAAAACTTTGCTAGAAATAACTTGTACTAACTTTTGATTGGTTAAGTAAAATCAAACAAGTTTCTTGGGACTTGGATCACTGAATTGGATAATATTACAAAAACAGGGAGGTTGAGAAGCACTTGCAGACATTCCATGATAGAGAGAAGAAGAAGGTATGGGCTTCTGTTGTTATTGGACCTCATTTCTGAATCTCATGCTCAAGTTGATTGTAGATATTTTACCTCTATTTTGTTTTGTTCCTCTTATAAATTTAAATATCTTGGCTCTATGAGACGGATACTGGTCTGTTCTTGTGAGCTTTGGGTTGACCAATGAGGTTTTGATCTTTTTTTGTTGGCTGGTGGCTACAGTTGCCTTCTTTTGTGGACTGGTTTGGGTGGTGCACGTGGGATGCTTTCTATACTGATGTCACTGCAGAGGGAGTCTATCAAGGCCTCAAAAGGTAAGCCCAACAAACTCTTTTAACGGGCTAAGCCTAATTTAGCCCATAGTATACTAACACGTAATCTTACTTTGGACCAACCTTCTAAGGTTCATCCCTAATCCATGAATGGATAGCTTAAATTAGCGACGGGGTTCTCTAACGGACCCTTGTTAATCTGGCCCGCGAATTGAAGGCCCATGAGTTTCACAGTCTCCATTGTATCGACTGAAGAATGAACTATGGTTTTAACTCAACTCGTTGATTTTAACTGTTACTTCGTTGTGTCACAGTTTATCAGATGGTGGCACACCTCCAAGGTTCCTAATCATAGATGATGGCTGGCAGCAGATTGGCAGTGAAGATAAGGAACAATCAAACGTCGTTGTTCAAGAAGGAGCACAGTAAGTGTCTCATATATCCTTAAATCACAGAATTTCAACAGCAATTCAAATTTCAAACTGAAATAACTTTTTTTCACTTCATGCATTGTCCAGGTTTGCGAGCAGACTGACAGGAATCAGGGAGAACTCCAAATTCCAGAACAAAAACAATGACACGAACAGCCAAACACCAGGGCTCAAACTTCTTGTAGATGAAGCAAAAAAACACCACAACTGCAAATATGTCTATGTTTGGCATGCTCTAGCCGGATACTGGGGAGGAGTTAAGCCAGCAGCAGAGGGCATGGAGCACTATGACTCTTCACTAGCTTATCCAGTTCAATCCCCCGGAGTCATGGGAAACCAACCCGATATAGTGATGGACAGCCTCTCAGTCCATGGACTTGGCTTAGTCCACCCCAAAAAAGTGTATGATTTCTACAACGAGCTTCACCAATACTTAGCCTCTTGTGGTGTTGATGGAGTCAAAGTCGATGTTCAGAACATAATTGAGACTCTTGGTGCTGGACATGGGGGTCGTGTTTCTCTCACTAGAGCATATCATCAGGCTTTAGAGGCTTCAGTTTCAAGGAATTTTCCTGATAATGGGTGTATTTCTTGTATGTGTCATAATACCGATGGGCTTTATAGTGCCAAGCAGACTGCGGTGGTTAGGGCTTCTGATGATTTTTATCCCAGGGATCCGGCATCGCATACTATTCATATATCGTCTGTGGCATATAATACGTTGTTTCTTGGGGAGTTTATGCTGCCTGATTGGGATATGTTCCATGTAATTAGCTTCCCAACCAATTTTTTTGTCTAGTTGGATTATTGTTTTCTTGGTTGTATTGATAGTATGTGCTAACTTTTGCCTTTGCCTGCAGAGCCTGCATCCCGCTGCAGAATATCATGCTGCAGCTCGAGCTGTTGGTGGCTGTGCTATATATGTTAGGTAAGAAGGAACTATAATCTCCGTTTATAATTTAATCATATATACACATGTTTCTGTTATTTATACTTTCCAATTTGGTAGTGCAGATATCCAAAGACTGTGATTTTGGTTTTAGTAATTTTTGAATATCTTGTATATCCTGCTGTATTCTTATATGTGTGCATAAAAAAAATCAGGCATATCAGTAGGTTAATGACCTGTTTGGATGGAGGGTAGAGAGGGGGAAGGGAAGGGAAATTTCATTTTAACCTTGTTTGGGAGTTTCATTTTGGAGGGTAGAGGAGGGGAATGGAGGGGAAATTTGGCCCAAATTCTTACACCCCAAATTGGGGTGTAATGGAGGGGAAGGGAAGGAAGGGGAAAAATTCCCCTTCCTTCCCCTTCCTTCCCTTCCCTAAGTAAACTCCCAAACACACCATAATAGAAATGTGAACTAAGTAAAGTGTATTTTGCTTGACAAATGTCAATTATTATCAGTATTTTCTGTGGGTTCCAGTAATCTATGTCAGTTGTTGTAACCTACATTTATTTAATTTGGACGAGTTATTTGATTATGACATCTATGCATTACTAAATGCCTATTCATTGTCAATTTAAGTAGATTCAAAACAACAATTTAAAGTATGGAGATAACTCTAGATGTTACCCTTACCTTATGTCCAAAGTTCAACAAAATTGGCTTACTTTTTACTTTGCAATTACCGACTAGGTTCCTGTTGCAGTCAGCTGTTTTGTCTTCTTGTTTCAGTTGGTACTGCTCCTTTCTAATAACTGGTATTCATTCTCATTTTTTCAGTGATAAGCCAGGCCGCCATAACTTTGAGCTACTAAAGAAATTGGTGCTCCCTGATGGCTCAGTCCTCAGAGCACAACTCCCAGGTCGCCCCACCCGTGATAGCCTCTTCAGTGATCCTGCTAGAGATGGCACAAGGTCGGTACTAAACCCTCCTATCTGTGACATCAGCTAGGTGGTGAAGGCCAAAGTTGGTAGTATAGTTTTCTTCAAGTTAAATCATATCTAATATGATGGCGCAAATTATTTGCTGCAGCTTACTCAAGATATGGAATGTGAACAAGTGCACGGGCGTGGTAGGAGTGTTCAACTGTCAGGGTGCAGGTTGGTGCAAGGTAGAAAAGAAGACTCGCATCCATAATGCTGATCCTGGCATTCTCACTGGCACTGTCAGAGCTCAGGATGTTGACAATATTGCCCAACTTGCTGGTCCAGGCTGGGATGGCCAAGCCATCATCTACATCTATAAATCAGGTTAGTGATAATTATCATTCAACCTTCAATCATAGGGATGTCAACAGATACTCGTGTGAGAAATTAGCATCCGCAATTGAAATAAATTTGCATATACAACTATAATTATGAAATGATGAATATAATTGAGTGCACAATTAGACGCACAATCAGTGAAGAAGAAATTACTCTTATAAACCTGGATATGCCTTCATTGCTGATGCTGGAATGTTATCTTGTTTGTCATGTCTCATAATCAAGTGTTGACTATGTGACTGATCATATGCACCAAATTAAACGTCCGTTTTTTAGTTGTTTAGGTGTTTAATCATGTATCTCACATTCCCATAACTTTTTTTCTTAGCAGTCTCATACTGTATACTCTTTTGTAATGTGATTACAGTTAAGTGACTCATATTCACCTACCATGGCAAAACAATGAATTATATCAATGTCTTTACTCTATATTTGTATTAGTAGGATATGTATTAGCAGGGTACGACACGAAACAGTTTGGAATTTTGCATATAGCTTAATGTACAAATGTGATTTTACAAGCCTTTTTTTTTTGCTTATTATACTTCCCTTTCTGACTGATCTCCAGGAGACGTTATTCGGATGCCAAAGGATGCAACGTTGCCAGTTACACTGAAAGTCCTAGAATATGAACTCTTCCACATTTCTCCTCTAAAGGTAAAACCTCCAAAAAATGTTCAATTACAGTCCACTTCAAAATGGTGGACGAGCAGACTTCATAACGACTTGTTTTCTTTTCCAACTTCTTATGCAGGAAATTGCACCTGGCATATCGTTTGCACCCATTGGACTCCTCAACATGTTCAATTCTGGAGGAGCAGTGGAACAATATAATGTCAAGATGAATAGAGACGACAATATCATCTCCGATGCACAAAATTCCCTCGGCGATGACAGAGCAGCTACTGCAACTATAATGCTGAGAGTCCGTGGCTGTGGTCGGTTTGGAGCTTATTCATCTCAGAAGCCAATTAGATGCACTTTGGATTCCTCTGAAGTTGAGTTCAGCTATGACTCAGATTCTGGGCTTCTGACATTGAATATTCCGGTGCCAGAGATAGAAATGTACAGATGGAACTTGGAGATCCAAGTTTAGAGGGAGACTCATGTGATTGGGTTATTGGTATCAGGGGGTGATTTGAGTCTGCATGTTGTAGTTTTTTTTAGATCAAACTCTATATGCATGTAATATAGTATGAGATGAGTTATGTATTGCGCTTCTTGTAGTATTTGCGTCCACCGCTTATGCAATAAAGTATCCAAGTAAACTATTTAGTATGAACTATGTTGCTTTGTAGTAGGGTTCGGTTTTGTATGGATCAGACAGGTGCATTGGATGATACTTCCGTTTCAGTTGACTAATAAAATTTCAAAGATAATAGTTTAACTTATAAAATTAACCTCCTTGTCAAAAATCTTTTTTAAAGGATTACCACTGAGATTAATGACATGCCATCAACAAAAGAATACATTGACATTAAGTTATATTGCTTAATGTTTGAACGATATTACTTAATAACAACGTATTCTTTTGCTGATTCCATGCCGTATATCTAATACATAAAGGACAAAATGGGGTTAGGGGAATTTTTTTTTATTTGAATTTGTAAGGGGCTGTTTGGTTGGTTTCTTTTGCGCCTGATTCCCTGCCAAAACTGACAAGCTGTCAGTTTTGGCTTGCTGTCAGTTTTGGCAGGGAATCAGGGGCAAAAGAAGCAAAACAAACAGCCCCTAAGTGTAGTTATGCATCGTTGCGCCTCTAATTAAAAACTCTATCTTATATATATTTTTTCCCCATGTGTATTTGTACATGCCAAAATTTCTACTTTACAGAGCAGAAACTCCAGAACATCCTGCATACAGTGTTGGACAACTGAGATTTAACTGCCCCCTCACAGAAGGTTTCCTAACATTCTACATGCGCGAGGGAATTTAATTTACTCTAATTTGCAGGCAAGAATGTCTCTAGAAAAAAAACTAATAATGTTCCGAACTACCAAGAGACCCGCTGCCGGTTTTCTCAATTTTCTTTACACTCGTTAGCTGAATTCATCGAATTAACAATTGGTTAATAAATTCCTTGGAAGCGTATGTAGGTTTTTTTTTTTTTTGTTAGAAAATTTATACACATCAAACTGAAAGTTAAGCATTTGGACCCAAATCCTATAGGATGAATCATGAGACCAGTGTATTTATCGCATTCAATTTTGCCCAAGTACATGAGTACTAAAGTGCAAAAGAAATTGACCTTAATCATATTTAAACACGTACGAAAGTGAATGAAGAACAATTTTCTCAAGGAATGTCAATTTCTTGAGTTTAGGAAAAGGGGGAAACAAAATTTGGCTTTTGGTGTATTTGAATCGTCAAACGAACATCACTTCAAAAACTATAGAATATCAAATTGTCAAAATAGTCAAGTCAAGTATCAAAGTTAAACATTTGCAAATTTACGATGTTAAACTGCAAATAATCTATTCCTTTGAGTTGAGAATTCTGCCCATCATAAAGTAGCTAACAATGCGATCATTGTGTGCCACTTTTAGGGATTGAGATCTCTTCAATTATATGATAATTGGAGATGATTCATTTATCCTAATTGCTACCGTTCAATCTAATTTTAAAGGGTGAGCGTAAACCAGGTCGCTTTCATCGTTATGATAATAGTTTTCACTGGTGGTCTCAAGATAAAAAATAGTTTTCAAAATAACAGTGGAAATTTTACATGAGATAATCTGAACTATCATCTGACTGGATTAAGAGACGGGGGAGGAAACAGATGAAAAAGACTAATTAGAGAAGATGAAAAGACGCATCTTTAATGAGTGAACTTCATTAAAAATTTGCAGTACGCTCTTACCATTAAAAAATGCTTTAGGGATCCAAAAACATGAGATCCTATATGAGACATGTAAAGTATAGAGTCGGTTTCATGTCTCATAATACATCATTCATGAATAGTGCATCATGAGACAGAGAACCGTCCTGTTACACCACCCTTTACCATTAAAAAATTCTTCAATGACCCAAAATATAGGACCAATAGGGGGGACAAGTGAGGTGTCCCCATCCTATTGGGTAATGAGTTGATCATCATTAATGATGACTAACTCAGATCATTATTAATGATGACCAACTTATTACCCAATAGGATGAGAACACCTCACTTGTCTCTCTATTGATCACATATTTTGGGTCCTATTGGTTCTTGGGTGTCCTTGGGTCCACGAAGCAAAGCGCTTTACCATTTTCCCTCTACAAGCCCAACAAAGCTCCCTTGGCTCCTCCCAAGGCAGTCATATCCACATCCTCCCCCTCCGCGAAAAAGCCTCGCTGCCGACTATCCCAGCCAGTCCCCCTCCTGCCACGTGGACTGAATCCGACGAGCTGGGCGTTCTCCGGGCCGTGGGCGAGATCGCGCTCGAGCCCGCTGAGGCCCTCGACCCAAGAGTATCCCTCTTGGCGCGCATCGAGAGGAATCTCTGTGGCAAGCGGTTCACGAGCTCGGAGATCCTCGCTAAGGTCAAAGAATTGAGGAGATGGTACCTGGACTGTGGGGCCCACGACGGAGAGGCGTTTGTTATCAGCCACGGGGTATGGGGGATGGCGAAGAGGAGAAACTCAAGAAAGGTAAAAGCTATAAGTATGTTTCTCTTATTTTCATTCTTCTTCTTTTTTTTAATCCGCAATGTGGTTATTTTGAATGAAATTGTGGATGTGGTAATGCCATTTTCTTGGTCTAGGCGTTTGATTATCTTGTAAACATCCAGTTTTTGAATCTAAGTTGTGTATAGGAACATGTGGAGGATCTAAATTGCTATAAGAATCCCTTTTTTTGGCGATCCAGCTTTTAATGTTCATTGAATCTTCTAATTTCTAAATGTACCACGTTTATTCAGTTATATGAATTATTTGGGTTCTTTTTCGACTACAATATTCTTTAGAACAAATTTTCACTGTAGACCCAAACCAAGTTTTAATTACCAAAATCGACCCATTTTTTTTTTAATTACCAAAATCGACCCATTTTATGCCACGTAAGCTTAATCCCATTTCCTAATTAGTCGGGGTTGCCAACCCCGACTGTTTAGGAGTTGTTAAATCCCAATTAGAAGCCTTAAACCCAATTTTTAATGCCCTAAACAGTCGGGGTTGGCAACCCCGACTAATTAGGAAATATGATTAAGCTTATGTGGCATAAAATGGGTCGATTTTGGTAATTAAAAAAATGGGTCGATTTTGGTAATTAAAACTTGGTTTGGGTCTACAGTGAAAATTTGTTCTATTCTTTAATTGGCATGCTTATTCAGTGGCGAAGCTAGTAATTTTTTGTAGGGGGGGTAGGGGGGGCAATGTAAAACTATTGTAGGATAATATTTAAAAAGAAACCGAATATGACGATGTATAATAAAGTATATATGTTCATGGCTAGGTGAAAGAACCCAGATATAAGTTTTATCAAAAAATAGATTCATGAATGCTTGAATGGTTCCAACATATCCACTGATCATTGAATCATCATCCTTCAATCTTCTAAAGTTTCTTCTTGCCTACGAACAAACAAGACAAATTATGTAATACATGAAGAACATATAGTTCATGAGTATTTTACAACAATTCAGACAACGGTATTCACTGTATCATATTTGGTTTTGTATTTAACCAAAAGCTATAAAACACTTATGAAATGAAGCAAAATACATTCATTCACGAGCATAAAGAGAATAGAGATTGCACCATAATTCTCATACTACAAAATTCATAATATTCTTATACCAACAAACTAACTAAGTTGTGCTCATTAAACAAAAAACTCGGAATTTGAACATCAAACCATGATCTAGAAAAACATAAAAACCCTATTTTGAATAGTTAACCATGATCTAGAAACATAAAAATAAATTAATGCATGAGTCATATCAAATTATCAATCTAAGAAAGAAGTTAATAAAAGGAAAAAAATTATACCTTAACAGCAAAAGCCCCAAACACAAATTAGTGGTTTTCTCCCAATTTTGAGCACATGTCGCATGAGATTGGCTTGGATGACAACAGAGTGATGTTTTTTTGGGGGTGGGGGTGGGGTGGGGTAGAGGAAATGAGATATCCTTGAAGGCCCACTTACACTTTGAAAAAGCCCACAAGATTATAAAAGCCACTTGCACTTTGAGCAAGCCCAACAACACCATAAGCCCAGAACTGATTATTTTATTTATTTGATAAATGCCCAAAATACATTCATTCACGAGCATAAAGAGAATAGAGATTGCACCATAATTTTCATACTACAATTTCATAATATTCTTATACCAACAAACTAACTAAGTTGTGCTCGATGTTTTTTCATTAAGGGGCTGTTTGGTTCGTTTTCTAGATATAGGGAAATGCATTTTCATGTACAAAAATACATGTTTTGAGTTTTCCAAACTTTTCCAAGAAATAGATTGTTTCGCTTTGGTTCGCACAAAAAAATGGTAGGAAACCAATGTATTTATTTTTCTTGTGTTTGGTTCGCATGGAAAAAAAGGAAAAACTTTTGTTTATATGCCAAAAAGCTAACGTGACTGCAGTTTTCGTCGATTTCACGAGGTTGAGGAAGGAATTGGGGGAGAGAAAAAATTTTGATGTGGCGGTGCTTTTCACCGAGTTTCCCTTCTTCAATCCTAGCGAACCAAAGATGGGGAAAAAACCGACGGAAAGCTTATATCCTACGTGGCCACGAAAAATCTAATGTGGAGGCGGTGTAAAACTTTTCCTCCGAGTTAAAAAAACGAACCGAACAGCCCCTAAACAAAAAACCGGAATTTGAACATCAAACCATGATCTAGAAACATAATAACCCTATTTTGAGTAGTTAATCATGATCTAGAAACATATAAATAAATTAATGCATGAATCATATCAAATTATCAATCTAAGAAAGAAGTTATTAAAAGGAAAAAAATTATACCTTAACAGCAAAAGCCCCAAACACAAATTAGTGGTTTTCTCCCAATTCTGAGCACATGTCGTACGAGATTGGCTTGGATGACAACAGAGCGATATTTTTTTGGGGGGGTGGGGGTGGGGTGGGGTAGAGGAAATGAGATATCCTTGCCACTTACACTTTGAACAAGCCCACAAGATTATAAAAGCCACTTGCACTTTGAACAAACCCAACAAGACCATAAGCCCAGAACTGATTATTTTATTTATTTGATAAATGCCCAATATTCAGTCCTAAGTGTTGAAATTATGCTTACATGTAAAATTTTTTTGCAAAAAGTTATTTTTTA